TTTTGTATTCAGGATCTGAGTTAACAACCATTAAGAGAACTTACTGTACACGTTCTGTTTTGCTTTTTTTTTTTTTTTTGAGACGGAGTTTCGCTCTTGTTACCCAGGCTGGAGTGCAATGGTGCGATCTCGGCTCACCGCAACCTCCGCCTCCTGGGTTCAGGCAATTCTCCTGCCTCAGCCTCCTGAGTAGCTGGGATTACAGGCATGCGCCACCATGCCCAGCTAATTTTTTGTATTTTTAGTAGAGACGGGGTTTCACCATGCTGACCAGGATGGTCTTGATCTCTTGGCCTCGAGATCCACCCGCCTCGGCCTCCCAAAGTGCTGGGATTACAGGCTTGAGCCACTGCGCCCGGCCTGTTTTGCTTTTATTTGTTGTTTTTAGTGTCAATAATTGGGAAGGAAGGTTGAAAATGAATATATACATAGTTAAAGGATGCAATTAGTGGTAAATTAATAATTGCATTAATTCATTTATCCCTTTATGGCTATTGAAACATTTGATAGTCAAGTGTATTAATCTGATTTTTAAAATGTATGCAGATATAGACCTGTGACTTTAAATATAATCTTAGGAAATATAGGATAGTTAATAAAATTTTAATTGGTAATTAACATTACGGATCAAAATGATATCTTTGATTATTGTGTTTTGCTCAGGGAGAGAGTCTTCATAGATATTTGTTCTCACTCTGGGCTCATAGTTTATCACAGATACACAATCTTCCTGATTTTCATAATTTATGAAAGATGGATATGATGGCCTTTATTTTTATCAGTAAAGGAGTAGACTCTAGACTCAGAATATAATATTTGTTCATAACTAGTTTTTTTAATACACTTAAATTTGAGAGTAGTTTTAGGTTTATAGAAAAGGCATATAGAATTCCTGAATACTCTACATTTATTGTACCCTGCTGTTAACATCTTACATTAGTATGGCACGTTTGCCACAACTAAGAAGCTAACATTGACCCATTACTATTCAATACATCCCACATTCACATTTCATTTGTTTATCTGTAATATGGTTTTTCTGTCCCGGAATGTCATCCAGGATGCCACATTACATTTAGTCTTCTTGTCTCTTGAGCTTCTTCATCCCTCACCCTTCTCTTTCCTGCTGTTCTCATCGGAAGCAAGTAACGAAGCAAAGCCCAAGATCGAGGATGGGAGTTAAGCTCTACTTCTTTGAAGAGGGAGGAGGAGTATCTACATAAATGAGTTGGAATTCTTCTGTACAGGATATTTGTCTTTTCTCCATTTATATTAGTATAGACTCATGGATATTTATTTTGTACTTTTGGTTATAATCCAATTCTATGTTATTTATTTTGCCGATAAAATTGTTCTAACTTTGGACATTAGGAGATCTTTCAAATTGACCCCTGTGTCCCTTTGACATACTCTGTTGTTGTTGTTGTTGTTACTATTATTATTATTATTATTATTTTAGAATCTCTTGATTTTCTGGCACTGTAAGATGCTGTAGGCTCCTCTTACACATTTCTTGCCCCAGTTCTAGGACAGCTATTTCTCCAAGAGCCCTGGTTTATTTATTTCTTTCTTTATTTACTTCGGAGAGTTGAAATCATGTTTGGGTGTTTCTGGGTATTGGGTATGCTTGCTTGCAAAAGGTTGTTATTTCCTGTATGCCCTGTCGGTGAACAGAGCTGAGAAAGGTATGTACTTACAGTAACCCATGGATGCCTAATCCATGCATGCATACAGATATGCATATCTATAATTTCATCTTTGTCAGTCTCTATATCAAGCACTAAGCATGAGTTTATACTTACGTCATTGATTTTAATCCAGTACTACGTGGTTCATGCTAGTCTTTTCCTCTTGCTTGTTTGCAACCTCCCTGTTTAGTAGTACGAAACCTGGCTTCCACCATCTGCTGTCAGTTTACTTGTTGCTCATCTCTAGTAGACATGTAAAGTAGTTTCAGAATTGTTAATCTGTAACTTGTGAAAGACAGTTTAACCTACTAGAGTACAATGTTTATGTACAGTTCTTTCTGTCTTTACTTTTACAGTTTTTAGTCAAAATACCATTTTCCAAAGTTAGATCAGTTCTTTTTCCCCAACCCTTCAGTAAGGTTGTGCCATACATTTGTAATACAATCGGATTATTTTGTCATAGTCCCCATTTCATCTTGTACATCCCTTGCCCTTTTGGCTGATTTGTAAAATTTGTAGGTATTAAGGTTCACTGTGTGCTGTAAAGTTTTTTTTTTCTTTTATAGATTGTTAAATTTATTTAACTATATTCCACTGTACAGATTACTATAATTTATTTAAATAGTCTCCATTTCATAGACAGTGATTTTAAAATTATTTTCTAAAACAAAATAATCCCTTAAATATTAATCTTGTAAGTGCAGTGAATTTTGCCTTGATATTATTATTTTTGTAACTTTATGTTTTTAAAACAAATGCAGAGTGTCATGTATCCACCACCATAGTACCATACAGATTAGTTCCACCACCCTTAAAGCCTCTCTGCTCACAATCTTTTGAGAGTTCCCAGGGGATCTCTTTCAGACTGAGATCTTAGCTTGATCTTTCATTGGAAAAGAAACAAGCTTCGAGTCTTTTATTTCAGGCAATGGTTCTCAGTCTCGGTTGAACACAAGAACTATCTAGAAACCTTTACAAAATACTGATGCCTGATCCTACCTCTAGGTCCTGACTTAATTGATCCCACCTGGTTTAGTTGGTCAGGATGTAGGTCTGGGTACTAGGACTTTGAAAACCTCCCCAGATGCTCACGGTGTGCAGCAAAGGTTTAGAACCACTCTGGAGTTCTCTATATCTTGTTTCAATCAAGCTGCTTTTTGATAAAAAATGCAAATAATTAATTGCTGCATTTACACAACTTTGGGGAATATAATAAATCAATATGTAAGTTTTGTTAATAAGTAATGTAGCAAGGATGAATTTCACACACTAATCTTGTGCAAAAACATACCTGTTTTTTTAATCTCTAATTGAATTCAAAATGAACCTCAGTTTCTCTTGATGACAGCAAATTTAATTTTGACAAGTCAAGGTTACTTAATTACTTTTAGTTTAAAACTCCATTCTTTGGGAGAAAACAGTTGAATTCAGCTTTCCTCTTTCCCTTAACTGTTCATCTTTTCCCTGGGATGACCTAGGCTGGAGTCCAGGTAATCTCAGATGGCAACAGCATCAGGGAAGGCACATCTAGCCTAGATGCATTTGGTGATCCCCATACAGAGCATTATGGTCCTGCTTCCTGTGGAGAATGTTGGGAGGAAAGTACTGCAGAGCAGAAATGGTTTTTAGGACAGATCTCAGAGAGAGTACCCTTAAGGGCTGCCACTTCCATCTCTGTCAGCAGCCAATGGATGTGGAGAAAGTCTGCAAGGTTTTCAGGTCAGCTGGAGAGGGGCACAGAAGGTAGTTGCAGATTGAGAGCAGGTGACCTACCAGAGTCCAAAACCTTGGGCCAAAGGAGCCCACAACAGACAGACACTTGGGAGTGAATGTAAGCCAGTGGCTGAGTGGGGAAGGCCACTGGATCCCAGAGGATCAGCAGCACCTTAGAGTATGGAGGTGATGGTTATGCCAGCCTGGAACATGGCCAAATGCCCTTAGAGAACATCATGTGGTGCTATCCAGGTTGATGAAATAGAAACAACAGCAGAAATGGGTGCTGCTGGTCCTCTGGGATCCAGTGGCCTTCCCTACCCAGCCACTGGCTTACGTTCACTCCCCAAGTGTCTGTTATGGGGTCCCATGGCTCTAGGTTTTGGACTCTTTGGGAGGCCTCCTGCTTTCGATCTACAACTACCTTCTGTGCCCTTCTCCATCTGATGTGAGAACCTTGCAGACTTCCTCCACACCCTTTGGCTACTAAGGGAGATGAAAGTGGCCTCTTTTAGGTGTGCTGTCTGCGGGGTCTGCCCTGAAACCATTTCTGCTCCGCTGTAGCTGCTTCCTTCCAGAATTCTCCACAGGAAGCAAGACCACAAGTCTTCTCTGCTTAGGGATTCCCAAACCCATCTGAGGCTTCCTTAGTATCTTCTGGGGATTTAACCTCTGTATGGCTAAGGAGCCGAGCCCTATCTTTACATCTAAACTGTCATTCATCCTTCCCAGCTACTCTCTTCAGTAGAAAGAGGGCATGGATAGAAAACTAAATCACATTATTCCTTCCTCACCTCTTCCTTGCATCATGAACTCTGTGTGTACTGCCCTCTAGTTTGGCTAATGCATGTAGTGCCAGTATTTTAGAATTAAAACATGATCATCATCAACAACACCAACAACACTTTTCTCTGTCAAGAATATAACTCTCTTCAAATAATGGGCTTGGGTTTCCAAACTGTTGCTTCTTTTGAGTATTTTCTAAAAATCCATTTAGAAATTCAGTCCCTGTCTATCTTCTAGCTATCTGCCTTCTGTTCAAAGCAGTAAAAGGCACTGAACAAAGTGGTAAAGAACTTGAGGCAAGAAAAATGTGGCAAAAAAAAATCTCTATAGATGTCTCAGAACAACACCACTCTACTATTCTGTTGTGATGTGATATGGACCAAATAAATATCCAAATAAATTTCAGTTTGGAGTTAGATGGATTTGGAAGGCAGATTTCCATGCAAGCAGAAATAAAGGCTAATAAGATATATCTACATTTAAAGAACCATAGATCTTTCCACACGTGCAATAGGAAAAGCCAGACATTTATTTGATTCTTGGCTGAAGCTCCAGATCACAGGCAGTCAAGACCTCAGGGTGTAAAAACGGAATATTGATATTTAATCTGTATTTATTCCAGGAAGATTTAACTTTCAAGGTGACACTTGGTGAGAGCTGTCCAAAGGGACTTTAGTCAAAGTCTGTTAGATTAAAACAAACAAACAAATATGAATTAAAGTGATTAAAGAATAAATCCACTGGAAAAACAGATTATTAACTATTTGTTCAGATTCCACAGATGAGTAACTCTATCTTTTGTTTTGTCCTCAGCTGGAAAGGCAACTCATCATGCAGAGTGAAATGAGGGAAAGACAAATGGCCATGCAGATAGCATGGTCTCGGGAATTCTTCAAATATTTTGGAACTTTTTTTGGCCTTGCAGCTATCTCTTTAACAGCTGGGTATGTTTGCTGTTTTTCTTCAATCATTTACTTCTTTTTATCTTTTCCATTACCATTTTATTATGGCCGGGATAAGACTGGACCAAATAGTGTATATAAGCAAAGTAACTTGTTATACCTTAGTCCTTGGGGATAGCTCTGTGAAAGCAAGACAGTAACATTTAATTTAGTTTCTTAGGGTTGCTTCTGTCTTTTTCTCTACATTATAAGTTAGAGACAGCACCCACTTGACACCAAGATAGAAGGCTTATACATGTTTATCTCCACAATCTCTTAGTGGGATATACCAATCCCTACCCATTTTAAAAACAAGGAACCTGAGCTTCAAAGTCAAGTAAAGATGAGCAAGTCACAGACTTTGCTCTTGAGAACTGCAGCATCTGGTTAGAGTTATTGGGTAAGGAAATCCTATTTCCATAGAATTATCAAATGAATTATGTAACTTTGAAGGAAAAGACATTCTTCCAAAAAAATTTTTTCTATAAGTATACAGGTATGTATTTACAGGTTATTTTTTGATACTATTTTTTTTTTAATTCTTGAAACAGAGCAATTAAAAAAAAGAAGCCAGCCTTTCTGGTCCCTATTGTTCCATTAAGCTTTATCCTCACCTACCAGTATGACTTGGGCTATGGAACCCTTCTAGAAAGAATGAAAAGTAAGTATTTAATAAGCTAGAGTTTCTATTTGCTGATTTATTTTCCATTTCAAGGACCCCTGCTTTAGGAACCCTTGACTTGTAAAGATTCTGACAAGACTCTCTTTGAACCTGCAATGACCAACATTTCTGCTCTCTTTCACACAATAGTGTGCTGGAGCCAGCTCATATCAGCTCACAAGAACCAATCACTACATTTTCAGAGATTGTGTAAGCTAGTTGTTAAACATAGTCATTTAATTTATTAAAACTTATATAAACTTGTAATTAAATTATATCAAGTTAATATTAAATTGTGTTTAAAACAAAGGTAATAAATAGAACTCATCTGTTTCTAAATATTTACTATTATCCATATTCTTTGGTTATTTATATCTATTGTATCTATGTGATAGAAATGCACTTATAATATACAGACAAAATAGAGCTACAGTCCAATTTCAGTGACATCCCATTGGTAGCCTGAAGTTGGTCTTTGTGGGAGTATATACACAGTGGAAATCTGCAGTTGTCGAATCGAAGCTTGACTTCTTATTTTGTTGATTGTCTAGACCAGGGGTTGGCAATTGACGGCCTGCAGACAGGCCACCTGTTTTCAGAAGTAAACTTTCATTGGAACGTATCCATGCTCATTCATTTATGTGTTGTCTGTGGCTACCTTCCCATTACCATGACAGAGCTGAGTCATGACACAGAAACATAGGAGCCCACAAGCCTGTAATATTTACCATCTGGCCCTTTAAGAACATATGCCAACCTATGGTCTAGATTTTAAAAATTGATGAAGAAAATGGTAATAATGGAGATTTAGCTTAAAAGTGTGCTTTGTTTGTAACTATTATATTGTCAATAGCATAAAAGTTGGTGAAATAGTCTTCTAATATTTAAAAACTGTTATCCAGTTCAGCTAAGAAGTTGTTCACATCATTCTCAAATAAGTGAAGTTCTGACATTTGTCTTCAGTGAAACAATTCATTGTTTCACTTGTGTCCTACTCATTAGTGTAAATGAAAACACCATTCATCATCTATTATACTCTACCATCAACTGCAACATAGGCTGGCTATGGATTCAGGTGTTCCATAAAAATTAATGAAAGCATTCTGTAAGAATCAATTTGCTACGTAGAATTTTACAATTAAGAATTTTGCACATTTTGTTATACATATTTTTGTGTATAATAAACATGCATAATAAACATATATATAATAAATTTATATACATTTCAGTTTCAGAGAACTGGTTGGTAAATATTCACCAGCAAACTGCTGCTGTTACGGAATCCTGGTTTGTACCACCCTGGAATTTGACACAGCTGGCACAGAAATTGAATAGAAATTTTTTGTGAGAATTTCCTGTTTAAAAAAAATTAGAATTAATTAGAAAACTTATCACATTAGAAAACTTAGATTATACTTTTTTTGCATGTTCATAGGGATGACCCTAAAATATACAATCCCTGTTGGACTGAGTTTATCATCAGCCATTCTATAAACACATGATGAGAATTACCAACTAGAAGGAAGGCTCTCTCACATGGAAAACATCTAGTCTGTCATCAGTGGTCAACCTAATTACATATAATTTTATAATAATTTTTACTTGCTATTTGAGATAGAGGTAAATAAAAAGAAAGTATTTACAGATGATTGAAATGTTCTTATAATTTGAAAACAATGGCCTGTTCTGTTGGGTTTGGAGTACAGTTAATAGTGTGTTAGAAGAAGGCCAGGTGCAGTGGCTCACACCTGGTGCCAGCACTTTGGGAGGTGAAGGCGGGCAGGTCACTTGCGTTCAAGATGAGCCTGTTCAACATGGTGAAAACCTGTCTCTACAAAAAATTAGCCAGTGCATACAACCTGTAGTCCCAGCTACTAAGGAGGCTGAGGCACAAAAATCACTTGAACCCAGGAGGCAAAGGCTGCAGTAAGCTGAAATTGTGCCACGGCATTCTAGCCTGGGCGACAGAGATAGATGCTGTCTCAAAAAAATAAAATAGGGTGTTAAAAGAGTAGTACTCACAGAAAGTCTTATCTTTTATTCCCAAGGGAAACTTATGAAATATAAACATGTATTGTAATACAATTTTTTAAAATTTGCTAACTAGTCTTCAACAGTGAAAGCTGGCAAATGTTATTGGGCCCAAGAAATTAATGCATTTTGTAGCTCTTTGAAAGATGAATTGTTTATAAAGATGTGTATATGTGTATATTTGTATGTATACAGACTAAATAACATTTAATATTATTTTGAGTATTTACAAGTAATGTCAGGTTGAAGATGAGCTTTTCTCAAAAATTAGAATTTGTGGTAAACTTAACTTTCTCTCTTGTGTCTTACATTACAGGACAATAGGAAAGACTACATGTGGGTTCTCTACCGCAAATCCCTCCAAACAGAATTAATACTAATCCTGACTTTGGTTTAAGGGAAAAAATTACTTATCTTGATGTTCTTTCTCTTCTGCATCTCCTGATTTATTTATGAGTTTTCAGAATTTATCACTATGTTTCCTCTGGGAAGTGTATTACTTCTCTTGAGGAAAATGGTTAAGTGTGAGATTGGGGACATGGCTTATACAGTGTTAGAGCCTTTTAGGGGCTATAGCAATCAGGCTTTGTCACAAATTGCTGAATGATCCTTTGTCATCTTGTGTATTTCTGTACTTTATTTAAGGTGAAGCTGAGGACATACTGGAAACAGAAAAGAGTAAATTGCAGCTGCCAAGAGGAACGATCACTTTCGAAAGCATTGAAAAAGCCAGAAAGGAACAGAGTAAATTCTTCATAGACAAATGAAATTATGTTTACCAATCAAATTTCAAAGCACAGAATAATTAACTTGAATCATGGTTTTTACGGTTTTTTAAATGCTCAAGATTTTGATATTATAGATTTTATTTTAAAATATTAAAATGCAAGATGAGTTTTGAGCTATTTTAAAATAAAATTTGTAACATTCAACACAAAATCATAGAGGTGCTCTAACTTTCAGATTTCCTCTCTCTGTAGGTGCATTACAGATATCTAAGTGTAAAATTAATAAATTCTTTTGAATTCCTGGAAGCAAATGCTTAGCTGCTCTCACTTCCCTGATCACACATACTTTCCATACCACATTCCATTTATACAGATGCTTCTATATTTTGTGTTTTTCAATTGTGTCCTTCCCCCATATAACAGAAAACAGTATTGACTAACAGATATACTGCATTTACTATGACTGTCACTATTCTGAGTGTTTTGTACATATTCTTGTGATCATCCCAATAATTTCACGGGGCAGGAATCGTTTTATAAATGTAGAAACTGAGGCACAGATAAACAGCTTGAACAGAGACAGGAGCATGCAAGCCAAATGTAAGAAGTTGCTGCAGGTCATCCAGTTTGACTGGCCGAAGCCATACTTGGCCAGAGCTTGGATTAGAACAAGTGTGGCTCCAGTGGTTGTGCTCTAAAAGGCCTTGGCGAGGTTAGGTCTTAACTCATGCTTAACATGAAAAGCAAAGCTGTAAAAGGGAAAAGGTAACAACATTCAAATAATGACTCAGGGCATAGTTACCAGAGATGTGGAAACAAGAGAGGTGGATTTGGATGACTGCCTTTTTATTTAGACTCACTGAGAAAACTCCCCATAAAATACTCCTATGTATAAGTATTCCTCCAGATGCAGACCCTACATTTAATATGCTCATTCCAAAGAGATTTGTCGATACTATGTGCCAGGCACCATTGTAAACACTAGAGCTACGTAAGTGAATAAGTAGGCAATGTCTTGTATCCTGGGCAGAGAAATATGTTCTAGTGAAGGGTGGGAGAATTGGGGGGAGCAACAAATTAACATGGAGATAAACAAGATCATTTCTATTCATGACAAAAGCTTCAGTGGAAATGAAACAGTGATAAGAGAATGATTGGAATAATGAGGTGGTACTACTTTAGATTGGGACTGCAGACACTGGCTCTCTGCAGAGGTTACATTTGAACTAAGACATGGCATGGCCAAATAATAAAAAAAAGCTCAGGTAGAATAATAGGAGAGTAAATCTAAAGGTAGGAACAAGCATGAATGTGATGTAGTCCCTACCTTCAAGGAGCTGACAACATATCAACATGTGGTTTGTTACAATTTTAGTTGTAGAGTACCTTGAGCCAAGTCTTGAAGGATGCATAGAAGTTCTCCACGAAGGCAAGTGTTGAAGAGGAAGGGTGCCCCAGGCAGGAGAAGCAGCTTGAACGAAGGTAGGACCATGCAAGCTAAATCCAAAGAGTTGCTACAGGTCATTCAATTTGGCTGCAGCAAGGGATTCCTCATGTGGGAGACTTTTTAATAATGAACCTGATGGTGGCATAATTCAATTCCTGAAGGGCCTTGGATGTAACAGCAAGGAATGTGGGCTCTTTCCTGAGAGTGATAGCAGTGAAAGAATGCAAAATGGTATTTTACCCAGATTAGTAGATTAGAAGGGAAAGATCAAGATGAGGAGCTGTAATGATCCAGCTGAGTGCTGACCAGGGGCCTGAATTAAGGCTACAGCCTTGGGAATGGACTCAAGATTATGAAAAGAAACAGTAGTGATACTCAGAAACCAGTTTGTGGTCACAGAACAGGAGAAGCTGTTTTCCCTGCATTTTTAATCCATATGGATTATCTAAGGCCCCTAGAGAACATAGGAAAGAAGCAGTATTGAGAGGAATACTCATGGACTCATGAATGCCTGAGACCCAGTGCTGATTGTAGGTCACATCAGAATCTGGAATTATATTTCTTTCCTCATAATTCAATCATGCTATTCAAATGTTCCTGACATAGTCTAGCCAGGACTCACCAGGAATGGGTTTGAGGCCTCTGCAAGGGCTGATCGGATCAAGACCTTATACGGGATTTTCATTACTGTGCAACATAGCCAGTCCCTAGGCCCCCTTAAGAATGCCAGGATGTTCATTTGTATTGGCTTCTTTCTCTGGCACTGACAGTTTATTAATAATTTCACCTCAGTAGAGGCCCTGCTGAGAAATATGTACACACGCTTACACTCATACTTTTGTTTGCTCCCAATTGTATAATGAGGCAAAAATTAAATTGGAACTATTAAATAATGACCATGCAGTGCAATTATATTGTAACATTTTTCAGTTTATAATTGCTGATTATCCAAAGATTTTCCTTTCTCATTATTACAGTGCCCTTTTGTTGAAATGAAAAAGATTTCTGCTGTGATGCTCCTGAGCTATTTCTTCATCACTTATGTTAATTAAATACTCATTTATACTTGTGATTAAGCCCTAATTGCCAACTAGACTTCTGACATTTCCAAATACTAAAACTTACATGGTCTTCTATAAGAAGCTAGCTTATAATCATCACAAACTTTTATGATATTGCAAGAAGAATGAGGAAATAAATATGAGAAAGTATATTAGGAGAAGGATAAGAAACAGGTTTCATTATGAACAAAGATTTAGAGATTAAAATCATGGTAACCTCACTCAATCTCTTTGTCAATTATTAGGAACAAAGTTGGAGGAAAACTTAATACACCATGTGTTTGTTCTTCCCAAGACATTCTTGGCTCAGCCAAAGCAATACAGAGACTGCTAAGTATATGTGGAATCTGTTAGAGTTAAGGGGTATAAAGATGGATCTAGAGATTCTCTGCAACAGAAAGACTGTTCTTGATAATCACTGTAAAATAGTAAAAATGCAGTTTATGACACTGCATTACCTAAGTGTTTTGAATGTTTCATATTCACATTTACATGAGAGAATTGTTTTCCCTGTTAAAACAAAAAGATCAAAGTCTGAAATTACATATGATTCAAGTTTATATGGTGTTCCACCAATCAGAATTTGTGTTTAGAGGTTGAAGGTTCCTTTATGTTGTGTTGCTTATTGCAGTTTGTAAAGACTTTGTGAGAAAGATCCCATAATGTAAGGTAGTTTTAATGACAAATAGTAAAATTATAATCAAGGATGTTCGAGAGGAAGGGAAGACTCTTAGAAATAGTCTAAGCCCTTACCTTACACTTGAAAAAATTGAGACCTTTTGTGATTGACCTAAATTTTTACATCTAGTAATGGTAGTTACATTAAAACCTTGGTATTTGGTATCCCTGGCAGGATTCTTTTCAATGCAGCATGCTGCCAAGAAAAAAATAGTGTCAAAGTTAAAATAAAATATAATTTAAAAATTATCACACATGTTCAGTCTCAGAGCCATATAGTGTCCTGGGGTGGGGTTAGAAGGGGATTGGTTAGAAGAAAAGTGAGAAGGAGCAGACTCAGATTGCAAAAATAATCTATGACCAATATAATCTAAATATGAGCCATCTGAAATTGATAATATATTTTGTAGACTGCCACAGTTTTAATATATGAATATTTAAGTATGATATTGTAGAAACACAAGCCAGAACCTCGGTACTTTTTCTGCCCTACCATTCTGGGAAAGGAATAAACTGTTACTGAGAAAATGTAATTAAATAAAGCCCATGCTTCAGGGATTGTGGTGTCTCTTGATCTTGGAAGGTGTCTGTTTTGTGAGAGGATTAGAAATGCTGTCTTAGATTTGGCCTTGGAGATGCCCACAGGAGATTTCAGGAAGTACCTTGCCTACCATCAGCTGTCTGCTTTCTGCAGTTTCTAGTATTTTCTTCAAAATACTGGCTGTTTAGCATCTCCACTGATTGTTCTAATAACTTTGGGTCAGTCCCGGTACTTATGAGGCCTGGAGTAATATCTGGGCTGCAGATGTACTAAGAGACACAGGCTGAATGGAAGGAGGGGAAGTGAGAAAAGTCTAGAAAATAGGAAAATGGGCAAGGAAAAATGGGATGGAGCTGACTCAACTGCCTGTAACAGTAGACAGCCCAAGAGTGCCTGTCAGGGTTCAGCTACTGGCTTTGTTGCGGGAGCTGAACCCACCAACACAATCCAAAGACCAAAGCCACCATTGAGATTCCCTCACAGGACAGTTTATTTTTCTGTGCTAACTTGTTCCTGTGGTTACTCAAATGACAGAAGTGTGGTTGGGGCAGCACATATTCATCAAGACCACTGAGTAAAAGCAGTGGTAACTGTATCCCACTGATAAGAACTCAGTGGCATCACTAAGTCTGAGGTTTGGATAACATTTTTGGCTCAAAATTTCTCAGTCCATAAGTGTCAAGGATTGAATGATGGAGGATTAGCATCAGTTAGTTTATTTATTTTTTTTTTCTTGAAGGACTTCATCTGTGGTCAGCAGCACTGAGTGTTTTCTTCTCTGCACTTGAGGTGGAGTAAATCCTGACCTTGTGTTGGTTTAGGCATGCCGTTTGGTGTTAGGAGAACAGAGTCTATGGTGTAGGAATGGCCAGAAATCTAGGACTATAGCTTGATGAAGGTTTCAAAAAATGGTAAGGAAGTAAATGGCCATTGAATGTATGTGAAAGTCAATGAGTTAGAGATAGTGGTAGAAATTGAAGTGTGATAAGGGAGACCTGGGAAAGTCTATCAGTATAATGTTAGAATAATATGATCAGCCTTTGAAAAATACTAGTGACTGTTTTTCCTTCTCTTCCCACCATTCCCACACCATTAATTTACTGCTGATAAACATTTGACTTAACTTGAAGGTAACACCAACTTACCCACTAAGGTGATTTTGAAGAAAGATGAGCTGGGAACCCAAGATAGGTTCTGAGGTACTTCACAGTTTCACATCTCCTTAAAATGCTTGAGAGAAAACTTGGTCTCTGGAATGTTTTTCTTTTAATCTTCAAAGAAATAAGAATTTTGGAAGCAGACCAACTGCTGCTACCTATTTTAAACTATTGATAATAAAAAGACACCTGGGGTTGGAATAAAGTCATTGCAGTTGGATAATGTAGAACATGAGGATTCTTTATACTATTTTGTTTACTTCGTATGTATTTGAAGTTTTCATAATAAACAGTCTTTCATAATAAGTTTTTAAAAGCAGAAGTACTTTCTAAATCATTCAGATCAGCAAACTTGATCTTGCTAGACTTTTGAAACTACATGCATTGTTATAAGATAATGAAAACTTTAATGTTGAGTGAAATAATA